TCCCATGGATCCACTTCCCTCCACCCCATGGATCCATCTCCCAGAGAGTCTCCGTCCCATGGATCCACTTCCATCCATCCTATGGATCCATATCCCTGGGAGCCTCTGTCCCATAGATCCACTTCCCTGGGTGTCTCCATTCCATGGTTCCACTTCCCTGGGAGATCCCATTTTAGGGATCCACCTCCCTGGGTGCCTCCATGCCAAGGATCCAATTCCCTGGGAATTCCAGCCCATGGATCCACTTCCCTGGGAGACTCCATCCCCATGGATCCACTTCCATCACAGGTCCCATCCCATGGATCCACTTCCATTAGAACTCCATCCCATGGATCCACTTCCCTCAGTTCCCATCCCATGGATCCACTTCCATCCATCCCATGGATCCACTTCTATCAGAGCTCCCATCCCATGGATCCACTTCCCTGGGTGCCTCCATCCCCATGGATCCACTTCCATCACAGGTCCCTTCCCATGGATCCACTTCTCTCCATGCCCCATGGATCCACTTCCCTGGAAACCTTACTCCCCATGGATCCACTTCCCTGGGAGATCCCATCCCATGGATCCACTTTCATCAGAACTCCATCCCATGGATCCAATTCTCTCCATTTCATGAATCCACTGCCCTGGTGCCTCCATCCCATGGATCCACTTCCGTAGCAGCTCCATTCCATGGATCCACTTCCCTGGGAGTTCCCATCCCATGGATCCACTTCCCTCCATTCCATGGATCCACTTCCCTGGGTGTCTCCATCCCATGGATCCACTTCCATCACAGGTCCCATCCCATGGATCCACTTCTCTCCATGCCCCATGGATCCACTTCCCTGGAAACCTCCATCCCCATGGATCCATCTCCCAGGGAGTTCCCATCCCATGGATCCACTTCCCTCCACCCCATGGATCCATCTCCCAGAGAGTCTCCGTCCCATGGATCCACTTCCATCCATCCTNTCTCCCTGGGATCCACCGTCGTGCTGAGGGGGGAAAACAAATGTGGAAAAGCTGCACCCGGAAAAACGGGATTTGGGAAAAAAAATTCGGGATGAAAAGATTGATGGGTTGGCTCCGAAGGGTGGAGGAAAGAGGAGGCACCGAGGTTGGGCCAGGAGATGTTCCAGGGTGGAATGGGACACTCCTGGTGTCTCTCATATGGAATAGGATATTCCTGGAGATCCCCTTCTGGAGAATCTCCAGCTTCTCCCATGGATCCACTGTGGGGCTATGGGGGTAAAAGAGAAGTGGAAAAGCTGCACCCGGAAAAACGGGATTTGGGAAAAAAAATTAGGGATGAAAGGATGGATGGGTTGGTTCCAAAGGGTGGAGGAAAGAGGAGGCACCAAGAGAAGCCAGGGACAGGAGATGTTCCAGGGTGGAATGGGACATTCCTGGTGTCTCCAATGTTAGATGGGACAATTCTGGTGTCTCAAATGTGGAATAGGACATTCATGGGATTTCCCATATGCAATGGGACACTCCTGGGATCTCCCATATGGAATGGGACATTCCCAGAGATTCCCTTCTGGAGGATCTCCAGCTTCTCCCACGGATCCACCGTGGTGCTGTGGCAGGAAAACACACATGGAAAAGCTGCACCCGGAAAAACGGGATTTGGGAAAAAAAATTCGGGATGAAAGGATTGATGGGTTGGATCCAAAGGGTGGAGGAAAGAGAAGGAACAAGAGCCAGGGCCAGGAGATGTTCCAGGGTGGAATGGGACATTCCTGGTGTCTCCAATGTTGGATGGGACATTCCTGGTGTCTCAAATATGGAATAGGACATTCCTGGGATCTCCCATATGGAATGGGACATTCCAGGAGATCCCCTTCTGGAGGATCTCCAGCTTCTCCCATGGATCCACTGTGGGGCTGTGGGGGCAAAAGAGACGTGGAAAAGCTGCACCCGGAAAAACGGGATTTAGGAAAAAAAATTCGGGATGAAAGGATTGATGGGTTGGTTCCGAAGGGTGGAGGAAAGAGGAGGAACAAGAGCCAGGACCAGGAGATGTTCCAGGGTGGAATGGGACATTCCTGGTGTCTCCAATGTTGGATGGGACATCCCAGGTGTCTCAAATATGGAATGGGACATTCCTGGGATCTCCCATATGGAATGGGACATTCCTGGTGTCTCTCATATGGAATGGGACATTCCTGGAGATCCCCTTCTGGAGGATCTCCAGCTTCTCCCATGGATCCACCGTGGTGCTGTGGGGGTAAAAGAGCCATGGAAAAGCTGTACCCGGAAAAACGGGGTTTGGGAAAAAAAATTAGGGATGAAAGGATTGATGGGTTGGCTCCAAAGGGTGGAGGAAAGAGGAGGCACCAAGAGAAGCCAGTGACAGGAGATGTTCCAGGGTGGAATGGGACATTCCTGGTGTCTTCCATATTGGATGGGACATTCCTGGTGTCTCAAATATGGAATGGGACATTCCTGGGATTTCCCATATGGAATGGGACATTCATGGGATTTCCCATATGGAATGGGACATTCCCGGAGATCCCCTTCTGGAGGATCTCCAGCTTCTCCCGCGGGTCCACCGTGGTGCTGCGGCGGGAAAACAGACAGGGAAAAGCTGCACCCGGAAAAGCGGGATTTGGGAAAAAAATTAGGGATGAAAGGATTGATGGGTTGGTTCCGAAGGGTGGAGGAAAGAGAAGGAACAAGAGAAGCCAGGGACAGGAGATGTTCCAGGGTGGAATGGGACATTCCTGGTGTCTCCAGTGTTGGATGGGACATTCCAGGTGTCCCAAATGTGGAATAGGACATTCCTGGGATCTCCCATATTGGATGGGACATTCCTGGTGTCTCCAATATTGAATGGGACATTCCTGGAGATCCCCTTCTGGAGGATCTCCAGCTTCTCCCGTGGATCCGCCGTGGTGCTGCGGCGGGAAAACAAATGTGGAAAAGCTGCACCCGGGAAAACGGGATTATGGAAAAAAAATTCGGGATGAAAGGATTGATGGATTGGCTCCAAAGGGTGGAGGAAAGAGGAGGCACCGAGGTTGGGCCAGGAGATGTTCCAGGGTGGAATGGGACATTCCGGGTGTCTCCAATGTTGGATGGGACATTCCTGGTGCCTCAAATGTGGAATAGGACATTCATGGGATCTCCCATATGGAATGGGACACTCCCAGGATCTCCCATATTGAATGGGACATTCCTGGTGTCTCCAATGTTGGATGGGACATTCCTGGGATTTCCCATATGGAATGGGACATTCCTGGAGATCCCCTTCTGGAGGATCTCCAGCTTCTCCCGCGGGTCCACCGTGGTGCTGCGGCGGGAAAACAAACGTGGAAAAGCTGCACCCGGAAAAGCGGGATTTGGGAAAAAAAATTCGGGATGAAAGGATTGATGGGTTGGTTCCGAAGGGTGGAGGAAAGAGAAGGAACAAGAGCCAGGGCCAGGAGATGTTCCAGGGTGGAATGGGACATTCCAGGTGTCTCCAATGTTGGATGGGACATCCCAGGTGTCTCAAATATGGAATGGGACATTCCTGGGATTTCCCATATGCAATGGGACACTCCTGGTGTCTCTCATATGGAATGGGACATTCCTGGGATCTCCCATATTGAATGGGACATTCCTGGAGATTCTCTTCTGGAGGATCTCCAGCTTCTCCCACAGGTCCACCGTGGTGCTGCGGCGGGAAAACAAACGTGGAAAAGCTGCACCCGGAAAAGCGGGATTTGGGAAAAAAAATTAGGGATGAAAGGATTGATGGGTTGGCTCCGAAGGGTGGAGGAAAGAGGAGGCACCAAAGTTGGGCCAGGAGATGTTCCAGGGTGGAATGGGACATTCCTGGTGTCTCCCATATGGAATGGGACACTCCTGGTGTCTCCCATATGGAATGGGACATTCCTGGTGTCTCCCATATGGAATGGGACACTCCTGGTGTCTCCCATATGGAATGGGACATTCCTGGGATCTCTCATATGGAATGGGACAATCCTGGTGTCTCTCATATGGAATAGGATATTCCTGGAGATTCTCTTCTGGAGGATCTCCAGCTTCTCCCACGGGTCCACCGTGGTGCTGCGGCGGGAAAACAGACAGGGAAAAGCTGCACCCGGGAAAACGGGATTTGGGAAAAAAAATTAGGGATGAAAGGATTGATGGGTTGGTTCCGAATGGTGGAGGAAAGAGAAGGAACAAGAGAAGTCAGGGACAGGAGATGTTCCAGGGTGGAATGGGACATTCCTGGTGTCTCCAATGTTGGATGGGACATTCCTGGTGTCTCAAATATGGAATGGGACATTCCTGGGATCTCCCGTATGGAATGGGACATTCCTGGTGTCTCCCATATGCAATGGGACATTCCTGGTGTCTCCCATATTGAATGGGACATTCCTAGAGATCCTCCTCTGGAGGACCTCCAGCTTCTCCCACGGGTCCACCGTGGTGCTGTGGTGGGAAAACAGACAGGGAAAAGCTGCACCCGGAAAAACGGGATTTGGGAAAAAAAATTAGGGATGAAAGGATTGATGGGTTGGCTCCAAAGGGTGGAGGAAAGAGGAAGCACCAAGAGAAGCCAGGGACAGGAGATGTTCCAGGGTGGAATGGGACATTCCTGGATCTCCAATATTGGAATGGGACATTCCTGGTGTCTCCCATATCGATTGAGATATTTGAGGATTTCAGGAATTCTGGGCTCTTTTTGGAGCTGGGCTCCAAGGCTTTGGAACCCCTCAGGGAATTTTGGAATATTTTCCCTCCGTGCTGATGCTGAGCTCGTCTGCTTTGCCTCAAAATCCAAACTGGAACAACTGAAAATCATGGAATTGTGGAATTTTTGGGGTTGGATGGGATCCTAAAGAACATCCAGTCCCAACCCCATGGCAGGGACACCTCCCACTGTCCCAGGTGATCCAAGTGTCCAACCTTGGACATTTCCATGGATCCAGGGGCAGCCACAGCTGCTCTGGGAATCCCATCCCAGCCCCTCCCCACATTCCCAGCCAGGAATTCCTTCCCAGGGAATATCTGTGGGAAGAGGAGACGCTGAGCAGGGAATTGCTGGATTTCATTATCGACGTCTTCATGAAATTTTGGAGGAAAAAAATTCCATGGAATTCGCTTTGAACCAGAAAGCACATCCCAAACAACTTTTCCTTAAATAATGAATGGAATGGCGCGGGAATGCTTTTGAAACAGGTACAAATTCCTGGCATTTCCCAAAAATAATTCCCTGGATTTGAGCGGGAAGAGCCGGGCAGGGACTCACATGAGCTTCTGCAGGCACTCGGTGGCCGACAGGAAACATTTGTCCTTGATCAGGGAGCGCCTCTGGAAAACAGACAGGGACACCTTTGGAATGCTGGGGGCAGAGATCCCAGAACCATCCCACAAAACCTCCATGGAAATCCACGGGCAGAGCCGACCATGGAGCTCGGGTTCCTGGGATTCGCCGGGAGAAGCTCTGTCCCCATCCAAGCCCAATTCCATGTCCCACTCCCATTCCCGGCTGGCTCCCAGGGTTTTCCTTACCTGGTTGGAGGTCAGGGTGAGGTCTTTGAGAGGCCACAGGTGCCTGGGAAGGGAAAAGCAGGAATTAGGGCGGATTCCATCCCGAATCCCGTCGGTTCTTCCATCTCCTCCTCCAAGGCGCTGCCAAAGCCTCGGAGGCTCTGTTTGCTCCTCTCCTGGTCCTGCTCCAGGTGGGATTTGCCTCAGGAACCTGGGAGCTCCATCCCATGGATCCACTTCCATCCATCCCATGGATCCACTGCCCTGGGAGCTCCCATCCCATGGATCCACTTCCCTCAGTTCCCATCCCATGGATCCACTTCCCTGGGAGCTCCTTCCCATGGGTCCACTTCCATCCATCCCATGGATCCACTTCCATCCATTCCATGGATCCACTTCCCTGGGAGCTCCCATCCCATGGATCCACTTCCCTCAGAGCTCCATTCCATGGATCCACTTCCCTGGTAGTTCCCATTCCATGGATCCACTTCTGTGGGAGATCCCATTCCATGGATCCACTTCCCTGGTGCCTCCATCCCCATGGATCCACTTCCCTGGGAGTTCCCACCCCTTGGATCCATCTCCCAGAGAGTCTCCGTCCCATGGATCCACTTCCCTCCACCCCATGGATCCATCTCCCAGAGAGTCTCCGTCCCATGGATCCACTTCCATCCATCCTATGGATCCATATCCCTGGGAGCCTCTGTCCCATAGATCCACTTCCCTGGGTGTCTCCATTCCATGGTTCCACTTCCCTGGGAGATCCCATTTTAGGGATCCACCTCCCTGGGTGCCTCCATGCCA